CGGAGCTGGGGCGCAGCAGCACCCCCGGCGCCGGCCATGGCCTCCAACTTTAACGACATAGTCAAGCAGGGCTACGTGAAGCTCCGCAGCAGGAAGCTGGGGGTGAGTGGCTCCCGACTGTCTCCTTCTCGGGGCGCCTTGGTGCGGCGGGTGGCGGGGAGAGGTGGCCCGCGCGGGGCCGGAGCTGGAGGCAGGATCCGCCCGCGCCAGCCCGCTTGTTGCTTGCTGGGGACGAGGCGCCGCACCTGCCTGAGGGCTCCGGAGATGGGGATGGGGGCGCCGCAGGTTTCGGGGGGCTCCGGAGCCGATGAAGGGGGCGCCGCACCTGCTTGGAGATACCGGGGTCGGAGATAGGGGTGCTGCAAGTTCTGGGGGGCTCCGGAGCTGAGGATGGGGGCGCTGCTGGTTCCGGGACTGGGCGGGAGACGCCGCTGCTCTTGCGTTGGGGCTCCGGGCCGGGCGAGGTCGCCGCGAGCGCCCGGGTCCCTTGTGCGTGCACCGTCTGCTCTGGACCTAGACTGGGAAGTCCAGCGGACGGAGGGGACTGGCAATGCCCGAGATGAATGCGCCCCGGGGATTTGCAGACAGGTTCCGGAAAGTGGGCGCCTGCTGATGAAGGCGCCGTGGCTGGAACGGGCGGCCGCGCCCCGGGGTGCTTTGAGAAGCACCATTTTCTGTTCCCTGCTTCCCAAGCCCATTTGGAAATTCCTGTTGGCGGCCCTCCCAGTGCCGCGCGTCCCCGCTGGCGGTGGCGAGCAAGTTCCTGGGCGCCCTGGCTGGCCCCTCTCCCTGAGTGACCCGGGCGTGCGTGCGTGCTCCTGTGTGCGCGCAGGTGTGCCTCAGCAGATGTGCACGTCTACAAGAAGAGAGAGCGGTAGCAAAGTTTAGGGGGGCCCCTTGCCCACTTTTATTCTTGCGAGCTCTTGGCCTAACTTGGGAGAGAAGCAGAGTAGACTTGGTGGTAAGAGGGGCGCGCGGAGGGTCCCCCAGAACCTAACAGTGGGCCAGAAGGGGATGGTGGGGCAGCTAGAGTCCCCGGAGCAAGATACTTTTCAGGTGGGTCCCTGAGACCCATAAGGCAGGGGGATCTAGAAAAGGAACAGGAAACACAATGGAGGAGAAAGTGTCCCTTCTCCGGATTCCCTGGCTGTTACTCCTGGCCACTGTTCTCAAAGTTCCCAGTTCTGAGAAGCTACTGAATTCTGGGGCCAAGTGGCTCTGAGCGTCTCCTACTGAAAGGATGTACACCCCCACTTGGAAAATGAAAGGACAGTGGAGGCGAGGGTTGTCTTAATGTTTTCATAGAAGGAAAATAATTTTATCTGTAACTGAAAAGGTATGGCAGTGTACTCCCTAAGAGGGAAAGTGCCCATGGCTACAGAAGTGGCTTTGCTGGAGTTGGAATTCCAGGGGGCAGGTGTCTGGGGAGGAGGAAGGGGAAGGGCTGACTTGGCTTATAAACTGCTTCTGTGTGCGTGGCACTGAGAGTCCAGGCTGAAGGACATAAGGGAACCATGCTTGAACTTTGCCCATCTGTAAATCCTGGGAGGCTGCAAGAACGGGGAGAAGCTGGATTACAGCTGGACCCCCATCTTGGAGCACCCGTGCTGCGCTGTGCATCCCCCCCAAGGGCAAGAGGCGCAGGTGCTGGGATCAGACCCTGAGCAGCTCTTTCAGGGCTTTGCTTGGGGAGCAGGAAAAATCTAGTTCTTTTCCGGGGAGAAACAGAAGAACCACGTGCAAAGCTGTGGTCACCCAGATGCTGATTGTTTCCCTCAGCCACAGGGACGCAGTGTCACCCAAACAACTGGGTGCGACAGGGGAACCCCAGGCTGGAATCCTCAGGACAACCTGACCTTTGACGCCCTTTGCTCAGGACAGGATGCCTGCGCATCTTCCCTGCCTGTGCCTCAGGCGTTAATAAGTTCCTGGGTGATTTCAGACCTTCCAGACACTGTGTACCTGGAAATGAAACCAAGACTTACAACCTGAGAACGGGCCTCCTGCGAACTTGGCCTGTGAGAGTCCGTTGGATGACTACCCCCTCAGCGCTTTCCAGGATTTCATCAAATAAAAAGGGAATATGGAAACTAATTACAAGATAGGAGTCAGTGCAGGCGCATTGAGTGCCTTTTGGGTAACCTTGGCACTGACTGCCTTTGACGGGTCAGTTTAGAGCTTTCTGTCCACTACTATCTGTGCAAATGTGCGCTGACAATGTCAAAGAGGTGTTTTCTTATTCATTGTTTAGAGCTATACCTTTTCAAAGGCAGCTTTCATGTAAATGAGAAAAAAAATCTTTATATGCAGATTCATTGCTTTTGTCTTCCATTTCTACTTGAGCAATGTAAAATTTCAGCTGTGATCTCTGAAACAGGTGTGCTTGGCTTTCGTAGTAAATTGAAATAGTAAGTTCACCATGCCTATTTTGGGGACTATCATTTAGTCCTCCCAAGAAAACCTTTAGAGACTTTTCTGTTTAGAATAATTCAATATTCAGAAGGGTATATTCAAATGGAAAAGGTCACACTGATGGTTCTTAAAGCTTAAGAAGTCGGTCTGTTATGATAGTAAAACACATCAGCCGACTTGTACCAGCGGTTCCATGGGAGAAAGATGAGGCTTTCTACGCCTGTAAAGATTTACGGTCTCAGAAACCCCATGCAGGGTCGCTATAAGTTGGAACCGACTCCACGGCACATAACCATACAGTACCAATCCATACCAGTACTTCTCATAAGGAGTCCCGGTGTGGTGCTATAGGATAAGCACTCAATCACAAGATCGGTTTGAACTGCAAAGTCGGTGGTTCAAATTCACCAGGTACGCCTCGGAAACCCTCTACAGGGTCACAGTGAGTTGGAACCGACTAGACTGTACTAAGACAACAACAACTTTTCTTAAGGACTCCTGGTGTGGCGCTGTACTGTGAACCACAAAGTCGGCGGTTTAAACTCACCAGCTGCTCCTCGGAAACCCTAACTGACCTGACACTTAACAACCACAATGTGATGGCTGGAGCCTTGGCAATGCTTTTGAGGGCCTTATATGGCCTATGGACCCGACGTTCCCCACCCCTACTGTCTGGAGTTTCCAAGGAGCAGCTGGTGTGTTAGAACTGCTGACCTTGCGGGTAACAATCCAGTGTTTATCCTACAACACCACATCAGGACTCCTTTATAATTAACACATACCCTTAAACTTGTGGACTCAGAACTATGAACTTTTCCAGTCACTAGTTTTGAGTCTAAGGATCTATAATGACACTTAAGTGTTTATGTCCAAAACGAAGTAATAGTCCTGTTGGATATACAGGGAGTCCTGGGGGAGGGGGGGTGCTCTAGGGTCAGCACTGGACCACCAACCACAAGGTCGGCAGCTCAAACCCACTGACTGCTCCTTGGAAACCCTATACAGGGTCGCTCTGGGTTGGAACCGACTTAATGACACTTATGAACAATAAAAAGTTTGTGTTGATTCATTTTGGACAGAATTGATGCTTGCATACTTTGAGTTTTACAGTATTCTGAAAGGGAAAGAGGCCTTCTGTGTCAAGCTAATTGGTTCAGGGATAATTATGACTTGAAAACCTGTTTTTAGGATGAAACATTGTAGTGTCCCTTTCTTCTTCTCAAATCAGTGTTTAGTATAGTGCTGTGTCAGGCCCAAACCCAAACCCGAACCTACTGTGATCGAATGGATTCGATTCCAAGCAACAGGAGAGCATTTACCATGCTCTTGGCATTTACTGCCCATTGCAGGGGAGCGTCCAAGTTAAATGGTTTGGTAAGGCTTTTGCCAAAAGATGTATGAGCATCTCATATTTTGCTACATGGGGTCAAAAGCCACAACTCCACAGCACTAAAAATAGTAACAACAAAGATTTAAATAAATACTGACTCAGTCCTCACATCACTGTTTTCAGGGAGTTCAACGAAAAGACATCAATGTGAACAATCAGAGGCACAGAAAAGTATTTTACACAGGTTTGGTTTCATAGTTCTTATTCAAATGTAAGATGATGTTTGCGTTTATGTAGGTGTCAAGAGTGTTTCACAGTTGTTGTTGTGAAGTGCCGTCGAGTTGGTTCTGACACACAGCGACTCTGTATAGGGTTTCCAAGGAGCAGCTGGTGAGTTTGAACCACTGACTTACTTTGTGTTTCAAACTGACTTTGCAGTCTGGCACATTCACACACAGCGCCACACAATAGGGTGATTAACATAGACAATGGTAAGGCCAAAGATATTGCTACTAGGATTCCAGTTCATATATGCACAGGCACAGACTCAATGGCACATAACAACAACAACAACTTGCGAAACAAAATGAGTTTAACAGGTGTCTGCGATCAGTGGATGGCTGCAGACAAAATATCTCAGTAATATTCTGGTTTTAGTTGAATTAGGGTGCCAGCTTAGGGTGTGGGGACTGGTTTTAGGGACTCCAAAACAAGGCTTGATAGATTTTCTTGAAGAAGACAGAAGTTTCATGGGAGCTTAGTACAAAGAAGTTTGAAAAAAATTGAAAATGTATTGATGAGAAAAGCCTAGGAATTGTGCTAAGGATTCCCCCCGCCCATTCTCACAATGCACATGTTCATTCCTCTACGGTAGCAAGCGTTGTCCTATGAGCATTACTCAGGGGAATGTTACCCCATCCACCCTACAGCCCTCATCTTGCCCCTTTTTCTGTCTTTTGATTCCCCGAACTCAAAGATTATTTCAGAGGAACATGATTTGAGTCTCGAGAATACCCAAATTTCTGGTTTGATGTAGAGCAACTCAGTGAGCACAGACTTATTTGGGGAAGAGTTTAGAGGATAGAAACACCACCTTCAGAAGCGTGTAAACCTAGATGGAATATGTATCAAGAAGCAGTAGCGTTACATTTTGATATTTTGTTTACTAAAGTTCTTGTGATTTTGTGGGGTACTGATGTGGTGCTGTGGGTTAATGTGCTGGACTGCAAAGTCAGTTTGAACCTCAAGGTTGGACATTCAAGCTCGCCAGCTGCTCCTCAGAAGCCCTATACAGGGTCAATATGGGTCAGAACCGACTCGATGGCACTTAACAACAACAACATTAATGATAAGGAAGTCC